TAACCTTTTGGATTATTATAATCAGCATATTGCTTTTTGTGTCGGGAAGAAAAAAAAACTTTTCGAAAAATTCTAAAAAACAACAGCAAAAACATCAATAACCACAACAACAACATCAATAACCGCAACAACATCAACAACAACATCAATAACAACAACAACATCAACAATAATAACAACAACATCATCAACAACAACATCAACGGCAGTATTATCAGTAACAACAACCACAACAACAACAACAACATCAACAACAATAACAACAACAATACAACAATTTTCCAAAAAAAAACATTTTCTCAAAATTGCACTGGAATTGTTGGCTAAAAGTGATTCCCAATTGTAATACACTAATTAACCGCCTACTAAGATGATGATGAAGATGATGGTGAAGATGATGGTGATGATGAAAATGAGGATGATTATGATTATTATGATGATAATGATTTCCTGTCAAATTTTGTATCATGTGACCCTTAAATAACACCGCAACCATTTATATGCTCTATTAAAACTTGATGCTGTTGTTGTTGTTGATGTTGTTGTTGTTGATGTTTTTGTTGCTGCTGTTGTTGTTGTTGATGTTTTTGTTGCTGTTTTTGTTGTTATTGTTGTTGATGTTTTTGCTGTTGTTGTTGTTATCGTCGTTGATGTTGTTGTTATTGTTGTTGTTGATGGTGATGTTGTTGTTAAAGTTTTTAGCGCAGTAACAAGCAACACAAACATACCCACACACATCTAAACAACAACAACAACAACACTCTAGAATAGACAGTGGACACATTAACATATGTCCTTTCTGCCAAACACATCCGGACAATGTGCCACATCTGTCCAGCTGTCCACAGAATCCCACTGCCCTCAATCCAATAGTCCTGTGGAGAAACCCAGTCGCGGAACCCCGGTCCGATTCCTAGGAAGGGCAACAACAACAACAACAACAACACTCACATATAATACACAACATCCATGCAACTACATTGTTAAAATGCTCAAATGAATCCACTGTTTGAACACTAGCGAAGTATTTTAATACCATGTAAGATAGTAAGGCGAAATTCTTTTTTTAAAACAAATAGTAAATTTGGTACTAAAAACTCCCATTCCAATTTTTATTAATTATATTTTTATAAATATTTATATTATAATATAATTATTACCTAATAACTATTATAATAATACTATATGTAATACATGATACAAGGTTAGGTTATTAACTTATTATATTATTATGTTCTTGGTAAAATATTTTTTATGATGGGTATTTAAATATTTGGCTGTCTACAATACAGCATACAATACAAAATACAACATACAAAACAACATACAATAAAAATTACTAAATACAATACAAGTTACAACAAACAATATAAATTACTACATACAAAACTAATTACAACATACAATACAATATACAAAACTCGATATAAAATGCGACATACAATACAAAGTACAACATACAATACAAAATACAACCTACAATACAAAATGCAACATACAATACAAATTGCAAAATACCATACAAATTACAGCATGCAATACAAAATACAACATACTAAACAAAATACAATACACAACACTATAAAAATACAAATTACATATTACGATACAAAATACAACATGCAATAC